TTCGCACACTCTGGTATGACAAGCAGGAGTTGTACGAGACCACCGGGAAGGGGCGAGGCAAGGCCACACCAGCGTCGACGACGGGCGACGTGTCATCACCAAGGAGAAAGAGGATGGACTGCACAAGTTCATCAAGGGCGAGCACTAGGCGGGACGTCAGGTCTTCCGCCGTACCGTCAAGGATTACTTGGAGTGTTCGTACGGATTAGAGATGTCAAATCGTGCCGTGGGAAGGTTGCTGCAGCGCCTTGGCTTCAAGCACCGTAGGGGTAGGATCAAAATACCACCGTTGAACGAAGAGAGGAAAAACCGCATCCGCCTCTTTCTTGTTAAGATGGACCTCGCGAAGAGGGCCGAGGGCGCTGGGGTCGCAGTCATTGTGTACATGGATGAGAGCTTTGTTCACCAGGCGCATGGTTCCGCGTACTCGTACTTTCCTTCTGACGATACGGGGGTTATGCAGGATGGGATAGGCCGTACAACGGGGAAAGGTTTGCGCATGATCATGGTGCATGCGATCGCGAAGCACGGGCCCTTGGCCGAGCTACAGGAGAGATTTCCTATCCGTGAGGGTTGGTTCAAGGCTAAGGAAAACCGTGCGAAGAAAATTAACCCTGGGGAGGCGGATTTCGAAATGTCAGATGAGCAGACAGCAGAATTTCTGTGGCAGGCCAAGTTGGCAACTGGAGATTATCATAACGCCATGACGGATGGGATGTTCATGCAGTGGTTGAAGCACCGACTTACCCCGGCCTTCGATGCGCAGTTCAAGAACAAGAAGATGTTTCTCGTTCTCGATAACGCCTCATACCACCACCACTGCTTTGACGAGGAGCTCAAGGTGCCCGAAACCAACCGTAAGAAGTACAACGTCGAACTCTTGCGTAAGTACGGTTGAACGTCGTTCAAGGTGATGCGTGAGTCGGAGGGTAAGGCTGTTGAGTACAACTTTGAGGTGCCGGCGCACGGGTCGTTACCCAATGCGAACGGCAAGAACGGCGTCTGCAAAGAAGAGATAGCCTCCGTCACTCGGACGCACTTCAAAAATAAATTTCCACAGAAGCTCGAGGAAAAGGCTGAGACGTGCATGAGGGAGAAGGGGTGGGGGTACATGCCGACTTTCCAGCCGATCGAGCTATTCTGGCAGCACGGCAAGCAATACGTGAGCATTCATTTTGAGAAGGGGCGGAACATGTTGGATGTCGGGAAGCAAACCCGTCTCGGTTGGTATGGCGACCCGGAATGGGACGGTCAGGAGGGGGGGTGGAAGGCAGCCAATTGTGGAAAATTGGTGGAACATGCCATTGGCAAGATGAACGAGTGGATCGGCCTGTATGGTGGAAACCTGAGCGGTACGATCGGTAGCCTCGAGTATCCAGTAGCAGAGTACCGAGAGGCTACGGCCGAGGATGAGATAGAGGATGGTGTGGAGGAACAGACTGATGAGTGGCTGGGTGAGGACGCGGAAGATGCCATTGAGGGCTGAAAAAAATGCAAAAAAAAATGCCCTTTTTTGGGCCAATATTTTTCGACTTTGATTCACGAACAGCGACACGAAGGGGGCTGCACAGAAGGTTCCATCCTGAGTGCAAGCTGACATATTGTTTAATGTTTCGCAATTGAGATGGCTGTATCACCCTGTTCAAACAATACATGGATCACTGGTGCAAGCCCTGGGGCCGCATCGATTGAACCCCGCGCTTCAATATTTTTGGAAGATCGCCGGGTACGATCACATACTAATTTCTTAATATTACTCGAACATGGTGCATTTTCTTTTTTTTCCCGTAGAATGACAGCTCTGTGCTTTGTCGTCAATTTGCGCTGTAGTTTGGGATGGGGGACTCCGTATTGACGAAGTTACACTACATTCCAATTTGGTCTTGACTAGTATGTTCCACCGTAATAGCTGTAAAACTGTTTTAGGTTACTTGTTCTGTTGGATGAGAGGGTCACAGAGTCTTCGTTGATTGTGTGGACCTCAAGCTCATTCCCAGCCTACAACGGGAAGAAGGCTGTAGACTTTGCCGTGTTGGAGCTGTCTGTGAGCGCTGTTAGCGATCCAGACGATTCGGGGGACCGTCGAAGGACAAACTCCACTCTTTCGTGTACGGACGATATACATACTACGACATACAACAGCAGCAGTCTACAGTCTACAGGGCCTCCAGACTGATACGAAACGACGGGTAGACGACTGCGGTTGTTGTGGTAGCAAGCTAGCAGCGACAGCAACAGCGACGTGCTGTACGGACCAACAAGGCACAAACCCAACCAGTCATTCGTTGTCTGCACGCTGGACGAGAAACTGTTGACCACTCAAACCAGTATTTTGAATACATCGTTGTCGTGAAAGAAGGCAAGCGACGAACGAAGTACAAGAACAGGTTGACCCAACAGAAGCCCGACTTACGGCGGCTGCCCTGAGTTGTCGCATACATGACAGACACAAATGCCTGATGCCACTCGCCGAGAAGCGACAAGGCGGAGAAAACACGAAAACGTTCAAGAAATCCATAAGAGGAAAAAAGACAAAACGCGCCGGTGCTGCGTGGCGCTGACGACGAAAAACGACCAACGGAGGTTCGACACTATCCACCACGCACCATCCACGTTGCTTGCGTTGAAAAACAGAAGGAGCGGCAAAAAGCATAGGCACGCGAGCAATACAGTACACAGTCCAGCGAGAGAGCAAAGCGTGCTTTTTTTTTCATGTGTTCTCTCGAAAATATGCGCTGGGTACATGTCACACTAACAAAAAAAAAACGGTTTTCCCTTTCGCGCCTCGCTGCCTGAAAATTTACACAAAGACAGGAAGGTGCTGCAATAATTCGGCGTACCCCCCCCGAAAAGCACCGTAACCCATACGAGCATGGCGCTGGATGAATGGCAGACTCATGGCCATTGAACTATTGGCAGTAGCGACTCCTCAACCCATCCACCCGCGCCGTCTCCAACAGCCCGCCTTGCTCCCTCGTGATGCCTCTTTTGCCGTTCAAGAGGCACAGCGGCGCCCCTTCTCCATGAACCAGACTTTTGGGCCAAACATTTTATCCCCTCTCCTATCCTTCCCTCCCTCGACACGACTTGAAGATGTGCTCACGCGTGGCACCTATCGACAAGGATGCAAATCGCTTGGTACATGAGGTCCGCGTCCTCCGTCTTGGAAGTCTCGAAGCCAACGCGCTCGTCACCCGCCGAGATCCACACGATGCGCGCCTTCGCCGGGTCACCGGAGAAACGAGGCAACGCACGCCGCAGTTCACGAGACCAAGTGAGTTGTCAGAGAAGCGGAAAGGCCGTTAGCGATTGCTGTGAAAATAGTACTTCGTCGCCTTTCCCCAAGCAAAGATTTCCATCTACTCTTGCTCGAGATACACGATTCAAACAACGTCCCTGCAATTGATTGAAACATACCTTGAGTAGAACGTGTATAGCCCGTGTGTGCTTGAGGAGGTGGAAGCGGTGATACAAAACAATGTGGAGCAAACCTCACCTCGAGCTCGACCTGGGTGATGGCGTCGAGCGGGACCCTGCTAGCCTTGGCCCCGGGCTGACGGAGGGGTTTGTCCCACACAAGAGCCCCTCCGTAGTCGGGCACGAAGCGGATGACGCGGCTCGCGGCCTTCTTGGAGCTGCGGCGGTGGTGCTTGAGCACCTTGAGGCCGTCAGCGAGCATGACCTGCGCACGAATGGAGCGTGCCGGTGCAGGCACAGACGGACACACGCAAGATCGTAGACAAAACATGCCACCCGCGGATAAATGGGGAGAGAGGGGAGGGGGGTCAGGCAATGCAGGAAAATAATCTTCGGTGGAGAGGAGGTGGAATTTCAGAACTGAGAGGCGTGTGGTGCTGCATCCGTCGTCTGTGTAGAACGGGAGAGCTCGCAACAATTACTAACGAATTTTCGCCAGGATGCCGCGGAGGTCGCTACATAGCTCTTGAGGCCTTCACGCCGCCTGCAGCACATTCACGCATATTCACGTTGCCGTAACAAAAATCGTGGGTTGTCTTGCACGGCACGAAGTCTACTTGTGTGTCAGCGACCACGTGGCGGAGGTTGCGCATGGAGCTTCGTCCGGCATGGTGAGCTTCGCAGGTACATTGGGCCGCGCAGCCCCTGCACACTCAGGCCACCTTCCCAACAATATCTCGCCGTTCATCTACTCCCCCAAGCTTCCAGCAGGACTCTTCGACCACAATAGGAAAGACCAAAACAAACGCTGCATTCCTGAACCACACGACAAGTACAGGCACCACGAGCTCTTGAAATGCAACCAACACTCACGCTGCCCTACTGAGACACTGGACCGTACATCCAAGTGCTGCGACAGCCAACACTCACGCTGTTGAAAGTGGCCACGATGCGGTCGTTGTGCGCTTCCTGCTTGGCGCGTTGAGCAATTGTGGCCTGGTCGTCGACTACCGGCGAGGGCGCGCTGAAGAAGTTCCCCAGCGAGAAACAAAAAACAAGGAAAGAGCACAACAATGATAAGACGAAACACGCGCAATCGATGGCAAGCACCGCAAGAAGAAAATACTGCCTTTGAACTACAATCCCAAGCAAACATGAACAAACACTCGAGTCCGGCGGAAAGCGGGGTCTAATGATTTTACAACATCACAAACACAACCACCAACAACCAAAGCGCTCGATAAACCCATCCAAGGCGGTAAAATAACACGCCTCACGACCGAACTACAATCAAGTCACTACCGCCAGCAAAACTCACGACTGAAGGGGAAGACACGTCGTTACGCCGTGCGCGTGGAGGCAGGACACGAGCAAGCCCGTCAAGAAAGTAGTCCCGGGGGGCGGAGGGACCACAGCCCCAACACCAAAGCGGCAAGAAACGGGTTGTATTAGTCGTTTGTTCGTCATACGAGACGAATGAGGTCATCCAGTATGGAACTGGTATGACACGCTGGGGATGCACCGGAAAACGAAGAAGCGGCGGCTACAAGAGGACCCGACCAAGATGCTTAACGCATGGAATCACGTCACATGGCTTCCTGGAGAATCATTTGTCACCCCAGGTGCTCAAACTTACAAATGCACCCTACGCGCCAACAAACGGAAACGGCATGGGCGCGCCGACAAGCAACGGGAAGCAACATGATGTACCCAGCCCCAAGATCCCTGGGACATTACAGCAGTCCCACAAGGTCTAGGCCTCTCGGACGCGTGGACATGCACTTCGCCCCGGTGCGTTGCTTGCTGTTCGAGGGCTATCCTGCCGTTAAGCCCTGTGGGAGGAGAGGAGGGCCGCTCCATGCTCACTCACCTCTCGCGAGCTGCCTGGCTTTCCGTCGGGGAACCCGCTCTCTCCCTCTCCGTCGAAGTCGCCTCGGGAGGCGACACTCCCGCTGTCACCAAGCGTCTCGTCACCGGGGTGCTGTTTTTGTTTTGTTTTTGAGGTCGACGTTTTCGTTTTTTTTACCGTTGTGTCGCGGAGCAGCACAGGGCGAGGGGAGGGAGGACAGGGGTATAACTCACACATCGTCGTCTACTGTAGTCTCTTCATAGTTCACAATTTTGACGCGTACTACGCATTGCGCAAGAACTTCGGCGAAAACCGGAGCATCGGTCGTCACTGCAACTACCGTAAGGTTGCACTGTGAGACGACACCGATACATACCTGTACCTGTGCGGAAATCGAAATGAACCATTTTGGGTGCTCTTGCACGCAACCTCTGTCCCATGACCCCAATATGTGCGATGTTGAACGAAATAACAGAGGAGGTGCAAATGGTGATTTCAACGCACATCACTGCTGTGCGAGGTACTGGAATGAAGCACAGCGAACGTCACAAGATCGTCCCCCCGCCGGAAGTAAAACATTGTCAACGTTAAAGGGCCTTGCGCAGGAGCGCGCGGGGCGGGGGGTGGGGCATGGTATGTGGTACATGTTGGCGAAAAGTTGGTGCTGTACTACGGGGTTGGCCCACGCCTGCGTTAAGCAAAATAAATACACGTGGACACCCTCCCCTGCCGCTACCCCTCAGCACCTTGGGGGGGTTGCTGCGACGGTTCATTTCTTCACTAGGGATATCAGCAAGTTGATCTCGGTTTTTCTGCGCTCTCCGCGAACGCCAGCCATCTTCCACCCTTACGGATAACGGTATATCTAGCCATATGTTGTGTATCCGAGGGTGGTCAAACGTGTGGACGCGTCTCCCGTCGGATAGGTTGATGACGATACATAGCCCCGCGTCCCATGAATATCACGCCCCCTTACTCCCCCCCGGGACCAGCAAAAAACGATCATGCGCCTGAAGAAGGAAGACCAACGCGTTTCTTGGGGAGTACGCAAAGCAGAACGATGGCGCCTGACCCAGGACCACGCATCATCAGCAAATAACGTACTCACCAAGAGATGACAAACGACGCTGGCCCACAGCCTCAACGGCTTTCTTGGGAATTCGAAAATAGGACGCATTTCTTTCCTGCAGGTGTCCCGGACATACAGATATCCCGCAAGTTCGGAAGCTAGTTCGAATCTCGGCACGGCTGTCACGCGAACTTGAAATGTTTTCGTAAAAATACACAACTGGAGCCAGGACAGAACGACTAGAGAAGAGCAGGCGGTTGAGTCCTTCTCGCGAAAAATCAAATCGGCATGCACTTCAGAAGGAAAACCCTTTCGGCGTCCTAGGTCTCTAAGGCCAGGGTCTGTGTGATGTATGTAGGTCCATGTCCTGTCTGCTATTTACACGCGGTTCTTTTCAGGGGCGCCTGTGGGGCATCTAAATATCCCAAACTCGACCCATTCTGATGGCTTCAGATTTTGTGACTACGGACGGAGCCTTGTCAGATTTTGGGATGAGCAACTGACATCCGAGTTTAATTGCACGAAAACAACAATAACGACAACAACAACATCAAGCCAGATCCCCGAGCCCTTCCACGGCAACTTGGATGCTGCTCTTGAGCTAGGGTAAACGTTGGCGGTGCTAGGATAGCTGCTGGGTTAGCATCTTCAGAAGGGCACGTTGTTGTTTCCACATTACGTAGGTCGCTGATAGAGCGGGAGCACTCTGTTCACTCTTCCCTTGATGCATATGTTCGTTGCAAAACAAAATCCTCCAAGTCAGTTGTTATTGCTGCTGTCGCTCTGCGTTTGTACGTATTTCCGTTCCACCTGCACCTGTTGTTACGGGGGTTCGCCTCTCTTTACTGCCGAAGTCGCTTTGCTGGGATAACAATTCCCTTCACCGCTGACAGAAGGATCTGAGGCTAAATAGGTAGTCTTTCTGTGTATGTATTTACGTTTCCTTCACCCTTTTGGGTCTACATGCGTCCTGGCAGATCATTGATTGATCATTTGCAATTACCGGTGTTTTGGCATGCCATGGAGTTGCCGCCCTCTATCCCTCCACGCCAGGTGTTGGCAAATCAATAGGTAGGTGTGTATATTATTCGCATCGACGGCGTACCCGGTGATCAATGAAAAGACGTTACACTGCCAGCGGGTAATATCAAGGTCCTTGGAACGGCCAAAATTCGAAAAATGCACACTGCTCTCAATATATGTGAATGCCACCATGAATCTCTCCCCATATCTTTTCATAGAGACACACATCAATAACTCCACATACATGCCTTCGCCCGAATCTAGCAAGCCACTAACGCAAAGACAGGAGGACAGCGACAAGGGGCACTTCAAGCCCAACCAGGCCAGGATATCGTGGTTTGCTGCATATCCTCCAATTTTGAAGATCGTACACTCCCAAGATCCGGCAGTCATCATGTCAGCAGCTACACTACACAGCAGCAGCTGTATAGACGAGTCCAACATACAGCAGTACTGTAGAAGACATAAATACTACATTTATATTATCATACACACATACCCTCGCCCGAACCTAGAGAGCCACTAATGCATAGGTAGGTGTGTGCTGGTGTGCTTGCGTGCCTGTGGGAATTGTGGGAAAATCACAGGAGCTGCAGTGAGCCGGCAGGGCTCACATGGGCGAGGGAACAGAGAAGTACAGAAGTACAAGAACCAGGTTTGGGTCTACAAGCCCTCTCACTGATCATTTCCACTCATCATTTGAACATACTGATATTAGAGTAGTTTAGGCTGCTTGACGACTGATCTTTTCAAGGTCTACAAGCCCAACCTGCCCTAGCAGCCGCACCGCGACCACGCATCAACCCTTCTATGACCCTGTCTATGCCCACCGTCCTGTCGCGGGCAGCCCTCACGGTCTATGGGTGGAGATAGCTGTGTGGTCTACAGAAGTACACTCGTCTTTTTCTGCTGTACTTCTGTCTCTCTCTCCCGCACTCTCCCCTCCTTTTTTTTTTTGCCGCAAAAAAAAAAGAGCTAGACCCAATGGGGTTAATAAGTAATGCACCACCGAACCATGCCGCCTGAAGAGGCTAAAAAGTGGGGCAGTGGAACCAGCCGCCTCTCCACGGTAGCTAATGATTTACACCCCATATTTACACCCCGTATCATAACATCTACAATCGCCGAACCATCAACGCAGATACAAACATGGTTGTGGATGTCCAGCCGTAAAATCATCAGCCAACCATCCAGTGTCACGGCGGTCGATTGCGACCACAGTTGATGGATGAAAGCCTCACTTCAGGAGAAGAGACCACGCACAGGAAGTGCAACCAACACCCAACCAACGTCTCGTCGCCACAGCGATGTCTACAGCACAGACAACATCAGTGTTGCCATGATCGGTGAGAGAGGGGCGCGCTGGATTCTCGTCATGGCTTTTTGGACAACGCACACAGGGAGCAGTGCACCGGAGACAGGTGGTGAAAAAAGAGAGACGATGTTGGGGACGAATCGACGCCGACTAACAGGAAAAATGTGCGACGCCGACTAATTGTGTGTATGCCTATTACGGGTTCAAGTACAACATCAATTATCCCGCCGCCAAAAGTTGGGTCTTTTCGATTGACGTTCAGAATGGACTGGCAATGACGCTCTTGACTCCAGAGTTCGCGAAAGTTATCGCAGTGCTCGAGAGGGTCGGGGCATGTAGTGGCGGCGACAACGGTGTCAAATGTGCGATCCCAAGATGTTGCCGCGCAAATTCACCACTTTTGCACGGTATTTTCAGAAACGGAGCCAGTCCACTTCCAGTCTTTGAGCAAGCAAACAAGTCTCACGGAAAGACTAGCGAGATAGAGAACGATCGCACCACCCCACTGCTGTTGGTGGCTACAATTATGGTCTAAATGGTAGTGAATATTTGCGACGCGGCCAAATGTGCGCTTCCTCGGTGCACTGTAGTTGAAAGCAAAGGTACACCCCCTGCCACCCCCCCCCTCTCTCTAGGGAGGGCATGTTACTCGAACTCAACAATTAGCACGATTTATCAGAGCTTGAATATCATCGGTGCTGGAGTTCTCTCTCTCCAAAACTGCGGCGGGTATGGAAAAGCAACCAATGTCCCGGATTTGCAAAAGCAGACATTGCTCACCTGCAGTGTCGAGGCGGCGGACACATCAACAGAGGAATCCTTGGGCTGGGCAGCCCACTTTCTGGACTTGCCCTTGGTGACTGGCGCCTTCTCGAGACTCGTCGCGCTCAACAAATTGGATGTCCCTGCACTCGGACTATTAGGAACCTTCCTCGCCACCACGATGGCATCGCCGTCCTCGCCGTCCTCGGGAGGAAAGTACACGTTCGAGTCGCCGTTACACGGACACGATTGATTAGCACCCATTGTTCTGCTCTCGCTCGCACGTCGCACCGATAGCTTCCCAAGCTCCGTTATCTGACTGCTGCACCTCACCAGTCACACCTCTCTGGTGTGTCCTCGTGCCTGGTCACCTATCCCTCTCTCCCTCGTTCATCTGTCCGCGGAGCCCCCTTCTCCCGGCCGGACGCCGCAGCGGAGTTGACAGTCTAGCACCACATCGCCCAGCCTATCCTTTGCCCCTGCTGCCATCTGTCATTCAGCCGGAACACATACGGCGCTTAGGTGACTACGAGAGAAAACATAACTTCGACGCCCCCATTGCAAATCCCTGCAAAAGCGCCTTCGCGAAGCTCCGACGAAAGCCAAAACAAGCCAGAGAAACATGTGGAGTTTTAGGGGGTGGGGAGGCTCCAGCCAGCAGGAGGAGCAGGCACAGAATGATGTACAGCAACAGCAGCAGCCGCAGGAAGAAGAGGAGGAGGACGACGATGAGGACGACGAGTACGAGGAGGACGAGGACCCGGAAGAGACTCGTTTCATCGAGAGAATGCTTGCGGACGTAAATAATTTCGGCATTTCTTTTTCTCAGTTGGACCAACGCAACGAGGGAGACGCTCTGAGGTTGCTAGGGTGGGCCTGCAAGAGCAAGGCAGCTCCAGGTACGCGCCATGTATAGCAGCACTAGTTGTATGTCGAAGTGACCCTTCATTATTCTACGTCCCGGCCAGCTTGACGTGGTGTAGCGTTTTGGCCTCTCGAATGTATTTATGATAGATACTGCTGTCGAGATATCGACAGCAGTATCTCTTGGGACGGCAAAATGCACGAGGTACATGTGCTTTAATCGATATGATACAACGCAGCCCGATTGTACTTCACTTACGGGCAGACGGGCATTACCCGTACAGTAGGGATGTGAGAAAACGCACGGGGGTGCGGTCGATTTTCAAAGCGTAATTTCCCCACAACCAGGAGGGTGCGAGCGCCAACTGATACCTCTCAGGAAAGCCCTCGATGAGAATTTTCCCAAACCAACCCTTTTCGACAGCAGTGGTACCCTTTTGGTTGTGGAGAAAATACGCTTTGAAAATCGATCGAATCGATCGCACCCCCGTGCGTTCTCTCGCATCCTTATGGTGTGCCATCATTCAGGGCAATGGACCACTAGACAATCCATTATGGTGGCATTTTAGTGATGCTTTTGTCACTATTGAAAAGAAAATATTAAGATATGATGTGCACACTACCGACAGCATGGATAAACCTCACATACGCGTTGCGCGAGGCTTCCAGGCTTTTTTACCAACAAGGGGACACGCGGCTTGGGAGATATGTGCACAGCAAGTTTGAGGGCGAGGAGAGGCACACAGGCATCACACAGCAGTACATCACATAGCGTACCAGCTCACACAAGCATGGTAGACCAAGTTTTTCCACGCACGTTTCACACAGCGAAGCATAGTGACGACTACGTTGCGATAAACAGGTTTATTGCTGTGTCCCCAATGTGTCCGTATCTGGGCTTCCTGTGCTTAAAAGGGTTAGCGGAGGAAAGGGTCCTAGAGGTTCAAGGGAGGGCAACTCACCGGGCGATGGAGATGATTAGTGCTTAAGGGGATGCGCCTTTTGCAGGGGAGTAGGAATCCGCGAAAGGACAGCATCCATAGTACATGGACAGGGCGCGATGAGCAGCTTGTGGTTGTCGAACTTTGTTTACCCTCAAGGTGTTATATTATGAACGTTTGTGGAACGGCCCTATCTGTGGGGTATGTGAGAATGATGACCTCCAGCACGAATAGCGGGCCGTGGGATAGAATGTGGGATAGGGCTACAGGAGATTTATCCAAGCAAAAGTTTGCCTTTTCGGCTGGCACGGCTGTACCGCGTGATGGTACTATTGGCAAAAATTCACACTTCACTGTCCACACATTGCGATTGAGGTGCTTGCAGTGTATCCCCCCCACCCACCCCCCGGCTTCGCTGCACCTCTGTACTCGAGTCTCATCAATGAAGGAATGCACAGTGTTCAAAAGAACTGCTAGTTTTCGTTTTTTCGCCTGATTCGTCATCCGTTCCGTCCGCGAGCTAAGTTCCTCAAAAAGGAAGTGGACTTGGACCCAAGTACCGACGATACGATGCACGCCCGCCCGTGTCGGCGCTCTACATGCCTTCGTTGCCATGTCGATTTCTTCATACATGGTCATGCTGGACGCGGACGAACCAATAGGCGGGAGAATTGTCCATACTGCTGTGCCCACTCACAGACAGCAGCCCGCTCGCTCGGGGGTATGCAAGCATAGTATGTGCTGTCCAGTACAGAAACTCCATGGGGGGCGTGGGGCTTTATACCTTGTTGCTGGTTTTGCGAAAGCCTCTACCGATTCTGCGGTGTCCTATGCTTTTTGAAAAAAATGTGTCATTTGCCAAGGGGGTGTGCTTCATGGAGGTTTGACAGTTTTCCTTATTTCTTGCGAAATTCAGCTGTCCTGCAATACCCCATGCGAACCGTTTTGGGAACGAGGCGCCTGGTGTGCTATTGCTGTGCTGCTTTGCATTTGGTGCTCTGTCGGGGATATGTGCTTGTATGTGCCCCCAAGGTTCCTGTGAGCTTCTTCGTGTCCAAAACGATCCCTTAAAATGGGCAACAGACACTGAACGTGTTGTGCGATATCACCGTGGTCCTCAAGGACCCGTCCAAGTGAAGTTCTTCCGTGTTTCAGTGCAGATCCTTGTCTCGAGCTGGCCGCCGTTTGGCGTGTTTGACGACAAGTTTGTTGCACAAAAGATGCTCGTGCGTTGTTCGTTGCTGCCTCGGTTGTTCCATATTCTTTGAATTTTCCACCCTATGTCCACGGCTCGAATTGCCGTGGGGACCACTGCGGTTGTTTTGCTCTTGGTTCATGGGCAACATTCATGTGGTGTGCAATTCAATCTATCTGAGAGAGGGTTTCTTGTACTCGTTTTGATTTGGAATGTACCTGTGGTCGCTCATTTACGTTTGGTCTTCCTCTACCACCAGTAGCGTTTAAGAACCTAATATGAGACGTTAAAATATGGCAGTCCGTATTGATCATTTTTGCCTTAATATCAGACAGGGAAAAACGAGACTGAAAATGTTGAGTATCTTCACGGTATATGCCCTCGCACCCCTACGCCGCGAGACCATGTTGCATGGTCCAAACGCTGCTTCTACGCTGCTATTGTGTCGTTTTCTCCCTCGGCGCGGAACATTTTTGCAGATGTCATCAACAAGATTGGCGATCGGTGCACTGACCTCTCGGCTTGGTCGCTATTCAGACTTCCGGCCCTCCAAATTGCGGTTCAAAACGGACATCTTTCTGGGGTAAAAGAGGTGAACCACGAGATACGTTGGTATATTTTTTCTTCCCATATTGTAAACAGCGGAAGGAGTTCGTTAGCAAGTTTTAACGGTCGGCTTGTTGTTCTTCCCATCTACAGGCCTTTCATGTCCTCTGAACGGAGATCATCAACCACTGGACCCCCCTGTCTAGTTGATGGGGAACTTGTTTACATCACACGGACGCAGTACGGGTCAGCGTGCTGTTGCATTAAACCGAAACGGTAGCAGCATCGTAGAGTTCCAGTGGAATGCGTAACACCTATGCTTCTTGTGTATCACATCGCCATTCGCCTTTGCACATGGTGTGCCCCCCTGGCAGATAGTAGGTCCCAGCCCCGCTGCAACCATCATCTCTTGCCTTCAACAGTGTTGTCGATTGTGCTACACATAATATTTCCGGCCGAAATTTACCAACACATTTCGCGAATCTGCGAGCAACACGACCAACCTTTTCAACACGGGACACGTGGAAGGATGTGAACGTTGGCAAGACAAACCTTTTTATCCCAGGGGTAGTGAGAGGGATGTGTCTTCTACAACTTGGCGCACTTTGCGTTGAGTAGGCGGTCCCTCCCCGAAAATGTATTCACGCGAGCTACAATGATGGTAGGCGCTGTCCTGACGTGTGCCGCTTTGGGCACGAGGGGGAATGGCCACGGATGTTGGCCGCGAAGTCGCCTTATCGCCCAGTGGCGATGACTATAGATCACGCCTTTTGAATCGGATAGAGTTTTCCCGAGGCTCACGGCCCACCTCAAAAATGCGTTCTGTCAAGCATCATACCTTTTCCTATTTGTCATATGCATAAATAGTGGGATAGAGCTCGTCGTAAATGTAGATGTCATGCTCACAGTCGACATCTTGATCGCATGTCTCCTTGGCTTGTTGCTTCAAAACCGTGTCAGATGCTCCGTATGGGGGCGGACGTCAATAGTATGTCGGGCGAGCACATCATGTCCACAGCTCTTCATGAGGCGGTGGGATCGCGGAGCTTGGCTCTTGTGAAACCGCTGTTGAGGCAAGACGAACTTGAGGTTGACGTCCTCAACCGCGCTGGACAGACCCCCCTCTACCTGTGCGTGGGAAACGCTATTGAACCCGACGAAGAGGACATCGAAATTGTCTATGCCGACATGGCAGTGGCGCTGATTAAAAGAGGCGCAGATGTGAACAAGGGGAGCCCTCATGATCCAAACGAGACGCCCTTGCTACTCGCTCTTCGAAGCCAGAAGTGCATTATCTTGGCGCAGATGCTGAAATTGGGCAAGAAGCCGCCGGCGCCGGTTGTCGAGATGTGCATGAAACATCTCGAAGGAAGCAAGGGAAATGAGGCCGTTCTCGAGCTGCTCGAAAACGCAGGTTGGGGCCGTAGTGCTCCAGACGATGCGAGGACGGAAACTGCTGAGCGCTCGCGGGATATCAACGAGGTATTGAGGGCGGTGCCGCCCACGGGTTCGGAGCACCCTTCTACTGGGAATCCCGTCCCTGACCAGACCTACACGTTACACGATGCAGTCCGGAGTGGAAACCTAAGCGCGGTGGAAGGACTACTTAGCACGGTTAGGAATGTCAACGCCGTCGGCGCTGATGGAGGGACCGCGCTGCACTTGGCAGCCACAATCGGCCGTGACGACATCGTGGAAGCGTTGATCCGGACCACGGGCATCCTTGTGGACAAAGTTGACAACCACAAACGGACAGCCCTTTTCAGGGCGGTATCGGCGAACCACGTTGAAGCCGTGAAGACCCTGCTCAAGGCCGGCGCCTCTTGCAACGACAGGGATCGTTTCGGATATACCCCCCTGCAACAGGCCGTCAAGAGGCCGGCCGGGGCGATCATGGAAGCTCTCCTAGATGCGGGAGCGTCGCCGGGCCTGGGTGGCGAGCAGGGTTTCACGCCTCTCCATAACGCATGCGAGTACGATGCGCCTGGGACGGTGGAAGCCTTGCTCCGCGCCAAGGCCCTGCCGGGGCATTGCTGGAACAAGTCGCTGCAAACTCCGCTTCTGGTGGCGTGCAAGCGAGGAAACCTCGGTGCGGTGCGGTTGCTTCTGCCCCACCTGTCGGAAAGGCAGGTTAACATGCGCAGCAGCTCTGATTCGGGCGCAGAGACTCCGCTCTCGGCCGCCATAACATGCGAACCCCCAAAGATGGAGATAGTGGATATCGTAGAAGCGGTGAGTGTGTTGTATCCTTGCATGTGTTTGTAGATTAGTTTCGTCGCCGAAACGTGGACAACCAACGCGAGCGGGTCGAGGGTGCCTTTTTGGCTCATGTCGCCCACGAGATCACACACAATGGCACCAACAGGGCACAACGCCTGTTGAGCTCAAGAGAACACGTTCATACATAGTAGGGGCGACTCGCAGTTTCAGTTTGTAGCTGTCGGTGTCTTGTATTTTTCCCTCATAGATCTCATCATACGCGTGGTGTCTTGCCCACATGTAGCCAATGCGATGCCTGCGCGCCAACTAACCAACGGACAGGGTGGCAACGCGTCCTTTCACACCGGGTCGCGAAAACGATGTCCCCGCGTTTAAATCTTGTGTTGCCTTCGACATTTCCTCAGTTTCATGAGCAAGCCGTTGCTTCAGGTAGACGGGGCGCACGTGAACATGCCTCTGGAGGCGACGTGACGTGTGCTCTGGTGCTCGCTCTCTACCAACAAACGCGCTCATTAGGTTCGGCTAATCACTTCAGTGCTTTTTGCGCCGTCGTGTCGGCATCTCCCTCTGCGTTCTAGTTACAGTTTCTTTTGAACACAAGTACGAAGTATATGTGTTTCGCTGCACGCGCGTTGATGGAAGTGTCATGGAGCAACTACCGTATTCCTCGCCATGCGCGCCTTAGTGTTCTACTGTCTCGCTCGAAGCTCACCGTTTCCCCCTCGTGCTCGGTGTGCATTGCACCGCCCCCCGAATTGCACCCCTACAACGAAAAGCTGCTCAAGAACGGCGCAGATCCGCACATGCAGACATCAGGCAATGGTGTGTCTGCGATATTCACGGCCCTTATCCTAAAGCCGGAGGGCGTCGCGGTCGACCGCATCGCCGCGCACCCCACGATCGGCCCACGAGTTGTGCGAGCGCTTGTCGCTGGCGGAGCCGATATCAACGATATGACTTTCGCCTCCGCATATAGCCCTCTGCACGTGGCGTGCATAGAAGGCGCCTGCGCGGAGGTGATCCAGGAGCTATTGGATCTCGGGGCCGACCTGGACGTTCCGTGCGTCTCTGCCAACTCCTTGGCCCCGCTCCACCTGGCCGCAGGTTTCGGGGGGAATCTTGGAGCCATCCGGCTCCTGATGGGGCTACCAAACTCGGGAGGTCTCAATGCCGTGGCCCCGCCGCCGAATGACAGGTGAAGTACGGGGAATGACAGGTGAAGTACGGGTAAGTGGTGGCGGCGAGAAAGCAGGGCCACAAGATTGATACAGATGCAGGCGGGAAGAGCGGGGGGGTAGCTTTGAGTCCTATGGTTGGGGCCTGCCCCACTCTCCACTTCGGGGGCGCTCGTCGCGTGCATTGCTCGCAGTGTTGCTGCCGCTGTTGCGAAGCAGGGTGTCCTTGAGTATTCGATGTTGGTGGACGCGAGTCACCGTTGCTCCATTTTATTTCGCGACTGATGGTCTACATGTCAAATTCACGATCTCTGCATCGTGGGCAATGCCTTCGCCACCATCTTACATGTGGGTAAATATACTTGTATGCGCACGCCCGCCGTCCCCTGCCTCTTGAAGTTGCTATTTCAACACTGTGCCTAGCACGGTTTCGCGGACACAAGGAAGTGGCTTAGCGCAACTGCGTATGTCCCGGAAATGCCCTTCTCGATCTCTACTGGGAGGAGGCGCTGTCATGTCAAGTATTGAAATTTGACGTGTCGTCCCTGCCCCTCCCCGTTTGTCGTTCCCACCGTTATTGCCAGAGTCACAATTCTGTACCTGGCCGTTCAGAACAACATGACGGAGGTGGTGAGGTTTCTTTTGGAAGAGGGAGCCGACATGGATATGATGCCTAACGAAGATGACGGGACGCTGTCCAAGAGTTCCATGATCGAGTACGCTGCTTTTGCCGGAAGCCTCGATTCGATGAACCTCCTCATTCAGGCCAAAATGTTCAAGGACGAGGCGGAGGAGAAGCAGCGGAAGGAGAAAGCTGGTACCGCGGGAGCGTGAGTGAAGACGACGCCCTCTGTCAGTTCTTTTTTTTTTCGTACTGCCGCTGCCGCCGCTACTGCTGCTGCTGCAACTGCAACTGACGGGTTGTTGATTGTGCATTCGAAATACAGCATAGATAACTCCGGCATTACCCGTGGAGCAATACCTCCCCGCAAGAAGGTCTGGGTAAGTTCCACACCAACAGTGGACGGCATACTTCGATTGTTAAACGAGGTGGCTGGGTGATTTTGCATTATTTCTCTAGTGTCCGGAAATTCTCGAGCGCGTTAGCCCTAGCCGCGTTTGTTTGCCTACTCTACGTCGCGTCGGTTGTTTCTCCGGCCCTCGCCTGCCGGCAGTGTATCACGCTGCAAATACAGATAGCTTTTGCCGACTACTTTCGCACGAAGCTTGAGCCCCCCCTCCCTGTGGAGAGGCGGATTAAACAGGCGGGTATGTAAACGAAAGAATTGATGTTTTTGAAAGTATTGGCAATGAGAGCGAGCAGCGTTTGGTTTTGTGCATGTTGAAGTCGACTTGTTGGCGGCTTGCGGAGGCTTGTTTGGTGTATGTGCTGTAGCATTTCCCCTCCTCAGATATTCAACGAGGTTGGGCTTGGCGCAGGCTTTAGCACTACGTTGCCATCTCTTCACCACCTTGCCAGGGTGAGTGCGCGTCCATACATTGTTGTTGTTGTTGTTGTTGTTGTTGTCTTCACATTAAAAACCATCCCGGTCTCTCTATCCAGTACCTCCTTCTGTCTCAATCTCTCCGTACTAATCCATCACTTGACTCGGCCAATTTCCGTGGTCACAGGCTAACGTACCTAGAAAAGGTATACCAAAATAAAATGGACCCCAAGGGTCAGCAGAGCGATAAAATACAAGAAAACA